CTTTTACATTTTCCACACCTCAACTCCATGTCAGTGCCTCACTTTAATGAGCTTAATATACGTAGCTCCAATATTTATACGATTTTGAAAACGATTGTAAAAATTGCAACCTGTGTACATATTTGAACATACTAACTATTCGTTTTATTTAACTCTACATATTTATTTAAAATTTTCATTTGTTATCAAGATCACACTTCATATTGAAAGATTTAATAACACTTATGTTAATAAAAAGACAAGCAAAATAAGTTTAACACAACACACACAACAATTTAGGAGCTGATGTATTTAGCTTAAAAATATATGTAGCGAACAGTTTGAGTATCACTGTATTGTGACACTTAATAAACGCAACGCAAACAGCTGTGACAAGAAATACTAAAAGAAGTAAACAAAAAGAGAAAAAGAAATGTGCAAAAATAGAAACGATCTCAGTTAACTACAAAGGAATTACAACAACAATGATAACAACAAATGACTCGGCAAGATTAGATGTATGCTAGTGAAATTTAATTAAATTTAATATAAACCACAAAAATCACAAAACTTTCACTTAGCTTCGATTATTATCACACTAAGATGCTCGTAGGCACTTTTTATAGCAACTTTTACTCAGAATTAGCACAATAAAATTTGCAAAATACAAAGACAAAATCAGAGCACAATATAAGTAGAACTTCACAGCTTGACGTTTATGTAAACAAATAAGGCCAAAAAAATAACAAAAACAAAAAAAATAAATAAAACAAAAGCAAAATCATTCGAGCGGTTTTCCAACAGTTTGGTAATAAAAAAATTTGCAAATTTTTTAAAAAAATTTGTGCCTTAAAATCCTCAATATTTGTTGAATTTTTTTTAAATTTGTACACGATAATATTTCAATTGCTCCAAGTGACCTATGTACCGAAAAATAAAGTTATATCTGTAAATCAAAAGTTGCTTTAGCACTTCAAAGGCTAAAAATTTACCCCAAAATAAGCCAATATTTACCGTTGTTTCTATGACATAAACCGAATTGGTTACTTACAAAAATGAATCTGTCTAAAGGCTTGGAATTTTATCTTTTAAGCAACGTACTTTTCATTGAAATCGCTTCATTAGTTCTGCTGCAATGAGCGTTTTCTTGAAGCTCTAAAAATTACAACTACAACATTTGAGCATAGCCTCGATATCAAAACGTAAGACGTATTCTACGTCAAAAAAAAAATAAAAAATTTGGTCCGATTAAGTAACTAAAATTAAAATAGAATTAGATTGAAATAAATGAAAGTGAGATAAAGTGAAGTTAAAATAAATAAAATTGAATCTGATTTATTTTGTTTTACTTTACTTTAACAACTAAAATTCTTAAAAATAAGAAACAAAAGAAGTAAAGTTAGATATACATAATTAACTTGAATAAATTAAATTAAATCAATTAAAATAACAGTAAGCTAGACTACCTTAAATAAAATGAAATTAAATTAAATACAGCTGAATCGAATTAATTGAAGCTAAATTTTAAATAACTAAATAAACAAAAAAATTTTAATAAATAAAACGAAAGACATATATTTAAAATAACCTAATATATAAATAAAAAATAACTTTCTTTGTAATTTTAAAAAATACCGGATATACCCTGTATTAAATTTACTTACCTTAAATATACGTTTCTAATATACTTACCTTAGACTTAAGAAATACACCTACATATGTAGTTATTTAAGTATATTTGCCCGTTTTTAGATGTTAGGACTTAGCATTAGGATGATTAACTTTAAGAATTAGGTTAAGAAAAAATAAATTTTGAATAAATTGTTATTAAATGGGAATGTTGACTTTTTTCTGGGTTTTAGGCCAGGGATTGGCATTGGTTGATCGGCAAGTCTTTCATACTCAATAAATACCGCTGCCTTGTATGACTGAGCAGCGGCGTTGGCTTAGTAGTATCGATACCTAAACGAAATTTGAGGATAACTGAACATCAGCGCATAGCACAGTATATACAGTAATAAACCTTTTTGAGTACAGATTATCATAGTGCAGTGCATAATTTGTTATATTACACCGTAAATGATAATGAACTGTTAAATGCTGAAAACGCTTGTAACTTGCAGATCCCTCAAGCTTGGGTGTGCTTAAAGGACTGTCTGGGCAGATGCGCTGGCAGGCATTGGGGTCTGTATAGCTATACAAATTTTTTTATTATTTTTTTTTTAAATAAAGACTTAAATATTTTCGGAAATTTAGAGTTTGGCTTGATAAATTCACAAAATTTACGTTTTTTTATAAAAAATTTAATCTTACAATGGACTTTTTTTTTATTTTAAACTTACATTTAAGAAAACTCAATTCAATGCTATAATTACGATTTGAGTTTTCCAGTTTATAAAACACAAGCGTTAATTATGTACTTTACTATTGATATTATTCTTCATTAAGTATGAATATCAGCATACATTAAAGATGAATATTATAATTAACCTACATTTTGTTCATAAATAACACATAATTATGTATATTTTATCCTCCAAATTAACTTTTTCTAATCATGAAGCGAAATTCCCCACAGTAAGTGTTGCCGTGCGCGCAAAACGAAAACGCTGCACAAAACCCAGAAGTACGCCTCGAGAACCAAATGGTGAAAAACTGCAAAAAGGTTTATTACTAGTTCTGATCCAGTACTAAATGAACTTACAGGATTTTACACGAGCTTGCAAGAAGTTGCAGGAAAAATGTTCCCGTACTCCAAAATCCTGTAAATGAGAGCGACTTTTGGGGAGTTGTGTAGAGCAAGAAGTTCCAAGATTTTACCCGAACTTTTTCTTCTGGTAAAATCATGAAAAGTGTCAAGCAATCACTGGTTGACGTGTTTACAGGAAAAATGGATTTTTTGTTCCAGTACTTTTTGTTGTTACTCACTTTTTACTCTCACTTCAGAGAGTAATTTTGCTGATTGACAGTTTTACAGGATTTTTCACGAAAAGTATTGGATCAGAGCTACTGTATATACTGTGGCGCATAGCGTGCATGTATGCATGTATGTATGTATTAATAGCGCGTCTACCATTCAATTGCTTTGCTCACTGCTGGCTAGTTGTGAGGAATGTGCATACGTACGTATGTTTGTATGTATGTACTAGGGATGTTGCGAATGTGGAATTTTAGACATCCGCGGATGCGAATGCGGATGCGGATGTTTAAAAGCTAACATCCGCGGATGCGGATGCGAATGCGGATGTCATGTACTTTTAAGAAATAATTTAGGTGGGTAAATTAGGTTATTTAGGTAAATAAAAAATGAAAAGGTTAATAATCCTTAATAATATGCCTTATCCTGGGGTTTGCCCGAAAAAAAATTCACCCGAAAATTTGTATTCCGCCCATAGTAAATATGTACATGAAAACCAAAAGTGAAAGGTGCACCGGTTCGGGGAAAATTAAACTCATGATAAGACTGAAGGTTTTTTTTAGTACTTGAATTTAAAAATTGGAACATTGTACTTACTAATAACTTTTTGAAGGGTCGTAAATCAAACCTGCGCCACTATATAACTACTCGCTCGAGGCGACAAATTTGAAAAACTTGAAACTTGGCAAAATTGTAAATTCTTTTCGATTGACACTGCACCAGTTGAGAGGACTTTGAGTTGTATTTATTTATTTTTATTGCGGTGCAATAATTACTTTTTGACAATTTCATCGGGGCTGCAAATGTCGGATATATCCCCCTGACTTTCATCTTCACAATCTAGCATCATGGCACAATCGTTATTAAAACACCGTTTTTTTCGAAAGAATTTTTCATTCTCTTTCTTTTGGTTGTTTCGGAATTTGTCACGTCATCAGCGTTTTTCGATTTTAGTTTTTGTAACTCATTTTTAATGCTTTCTTCTGTGACTGGTTAGATTCCAGGGACCGAAAATAACAGTGATTTTTTCCGAGTTAAATTTGGCCTAATATTTTTTATTCCGAAATAAACGTCCAAATTAAACAAAGTTGGTATCATATGAAAGAGGACTGAAATAGCTTTTAAACACAAATAACGAATGAAGGTTACCACCTCTATTTGTATTTTTTTATAACTTAATACTAAAGATATTCATGTAAATACATACCTGACCCAATGTTTGTTCTATGGCAATTAACAGGGAAAGGATTTTTTGGAAATTGCCTTGTTTTTTCCTAAAGAGATAGAGTATATTCGATTAAGAATGTCCACGATTTAGCTTTCCCCGATTCCATATATACACATTTGATGTTGCCTTTTTTGCCTTTTTTAAGATCTTTGCCTTTGTTTGCATTTTCTACCTTTAAAAAAGTGATTATAGCATTTACAATTTTTTTTAAGATTAAAAGATATACACATGCCCATGCGGCTTATAGAGGCGCAGGGACCTCTTGCCAAATTGGTGTTAGAAAAATTCAAAGCCGTTTTCTCAGCTCACGTAGGCTTGGAGACATCGGCGTAGCCAGAATGAAATTTAGAGGAGGGGGAGGGGGGGGAGGGGCTCGACCCTATTAAGCTGGCATTTCAGGGTACTATTATATATATATATAAGGAAAATTTTAAAGTTAGGGGGGGGGG